GGGTGGGTGGATGGATGGATGGATAGGTGGGTGGATGGATGGATGGATGGGTGGATGGATGGATGGATGGATGGATGGGTGGATGGATGGGTGGAAGGAAGGAAGGAGAGAGGGAGGGAGGGAGGGAGGGAGGAAGAAAGGACAGACCAGTTCTGTCTGCAGCAGCCCAGAGAAGTGGAGCCTGGTGGCCCAGGCCACTGGAGGTGGGAGATGGGAGGTGGGAGGTGGGTGGGGGACCCCTTCCCCCCACCAGAAGGGGAGCATCGGGAGGGGCGGGGGTTCACGTGGCCATGAGGTAAGGGGAGGAGGAGGCCACAGCTGAGGGGTGCGGGGTTCTGGGGACTTCAGGATGGGCACGAGGTGAGCAGGGAAGCACGGGGTCCCCTGCCTCAGCAGCCCCCGGGGCAGCGCTGTACCTTTGACATGCTTGTCCTGGAACTCTGCGAGGAAGCGTGTGATGCGGTCCGAGGGGATGGCGAAGGAGATGCCGGCTGCTACCTTGAGCGTGTTGATGCCAATGACCTCGCCGTCCTGGGCGGGGCGGTCAGAGGGGCGGTCACCCAGGAGCCCGAGTACCAAGTACCGCGTCTGCCCCGAGGCTCCCAGGGCAGTCCCGAGCTGTCCTGGAAAGGCCCTCTGGGGTTCACCTCTGGGTCAGGGACCTCCCCACCTCTCCCTCCAAACCTGCCCCTCCTCTCCCCTGCTCAGATCTGCCCCTTAGGCAGTGCCCACCGAGGAGGACGCCCCCTACCCTGGCAGCATCCAGAGGGGCTGGAGCCCGGAGAGGGCGTGACAAGGCCTCTGGGACCAGAGCTTCTCTCCCCAGTGCTTCTAGAAGTGGAGCTGGGGGCACGTGGCCAGGGCAGCTCTCCAGCACCCACCCACCCTGTCTGTCCCCCAGGAGCTGGCCTCCCACCCCACCCATGCCCTGCACCCCCTCAAGGCTACGGCCTGGGTCACCAGACACCTCGTTCTTGACACCCTCCCAGGAAGGTGCTCCTCCTCCCAGCCTGGCACGTACCCCTGTTTTTCCGGCCTCCAGCATAAAGCCCACGCCCATGAGCTTTTGTGAACGCCCATGCTGGGGCTCTGGTCCTGCTGCACTCCTCCGGGGCTGCTCGGGGGCAGGGTGAAGCTCCCTCTGAGCCCTCCTGCTCATGCTGTGCCTTCTCCCCGGACTAGCTTTCTCCTGCATGTCCCCTCAAACCCAAACCCACAGTCTCCACGGCCCAGATGAGATGCTCTCGCCTCCAGGAAGCCCTCCCCGCCTGTAATTCCTCCCGAGTCCCCTCACTGTTCCTCACGTCACACGGGTGTGCTCACGTCTGACAGGCTACAGCATGGATGGGCGCTCCCGAGGTGGGGACGGCATCCGATACTTTGGGGCCCAGGAGCTGAACTGATTTCTGACCTGAACTCCTGCTTTATTCTAGAAATCTCACCTGGGATGAGAATGAGCCTGACTCTGGGGCCCAGGACAGACGTGGTGGGGGGGGACCCAAGAGGATTGGGAAACGACAGGGATGCCCCCCCACCTCACACGTAAACACAAAGATGGGGGGCCCAGAGCAGTGAGCAGCCCTGACCTGTGTCTCCCCTGCCCCAGGTCCTTGCTGGGCACGTGGCCCTGCCTGGCCATTGCTCCGGGTCATCCTCATTCCTCAGACAGCCCAGCATCTCTGGGGTGTACGGGGTGTGGGGGGCCCAGGGCGGCATGTGCTTGGGGTCATGTCCTCCTCCCAGACCTCCGGCCTCGCTGTCGGCTTTGAAGATGCAAGGCCCATCTTTGGGATTCTATCCCCGCCTCGAGGCTGTACTGCCATGTGAGCAGAGTCCCAGAAAACTAGAGGTCTCTGCTCTTGGGGACACTTACCAGGTTCACCAGTGGTCCCCCGGAGTTCCCGTACTGCAAGGGGAGGAAACGCGACGTGAGCCCAGCCCTGAGCCCACCCGAGGGTCCCCGAAGCTCTGTCTTCCGACCCTCGTTCCAACCAGCCCAGAGATGGGCATCAAACGGCATCGAAAGGCCTCACTGCACCCCCATTTCACAGGTAAGGGAGCCTGGGCCCCAGAGGCCACACGGACAGCTGTCAGATGACCCGTGCGCCCCACACAGACTCAGGCTGCCTCCAGGCTCGCTCCATGGCTCGGTTACATCCCACCGGCCGCGAGGGTCTCTACAAAGGCTCACATTTCCAGAAGAGCCCGAACCATGGCAAACCCAGAAAGGTGGGCGCTCTGTGAGCGTGAAAGGTGCCCTCAGCTACAGTAACAATACTAACTGCGACAAAAGGAATGCTGGTGGGGGGGTGACTTGGGCAGAGACTCTCTGCGTCTCTGAAGGGCTCTCCCAGCTCAGGGCAGCAGCTTCCAACCCCCAGGACAGACCCGGCACCCAGGTGCAGAAGTCACAGGGAGTCCAAGCTCAGTTGAACGTAAAGAGGGAACTTTCTAGATGTGCTCAGTGAGGGGGCGGGCTCTGGGGACAGGGACTCACGTTGATTATGGCATCCGTCTGGATGTAGTCCATGTCCGAGTCCCGGAGGCCCAGCTCCTTGCCGTCTCGCTGGGCCGTGCTGACGATGCCCGTGGTCACGGTGTTCTGCAGGGCAAAGGGGCTGCCGATGGCCACCACGAACTCGCCGGGCCGCAGGTCTGCCGAGCGGCCCAGTAGCAGGGCCGGCAGCTTTTTCTGGAGGGGGGACACGGGGAGGGAGGCTCAGCCGTCTGCCTTTGGTGGGACCGGAGCCAGATCAAGGCCAGACCCCCAGCGGGGTGATCCCAGGAAGGCAGGAGCAGCTGGATAGAGCTGTCAGGGGCAAAGGCCAAGGCAAGTCGCCAACTCAGACGGAGGCCAGGCTGGCCTCCAGCTGACCCGTAGTAGGAGGGACTCAGGCTGGAGTTCTTGCAACAGAGGCTCAGCCGCTCTGTGACCAACCACGGGTTTCCCCAGGCAGCTGCAGGGGTCGCACACAGGGAGGATGTGCAGAAGGTCCAGCCAGGCATGGCCTCTCCGGTCCTGGAGTCCAGAAGTCCGATGGTCACAGGTCCCTCTGAAATCTGATAGGAGCTATGAATACCATCCAAAATGCATCACACGCAAACTGATGATGCATACAACCAGAGTCTTGTGGGAAGCCTAGAGTCCAGGTGAGGACCCAGAACCCTACTGTGGGAATCCTTGATCCAGCTCAACCTGATCTCCCAGTATAGACACACAGGGAAACTGAGGCCCAGAGCCATAAAGTGACTTAGCCAAGCTCTGCCATCACCCCCTGCGCACCGAGACACCTGCTCGCTCCATTTCCACGTGACGCCAGTGGAGCCAGTCTGTCTGTCCACTCTGCAGCTAGACTGGGAGCTCTGGGAGCTGGCCATGTTGGGTTTGCCTCCATGGTCTGGGTGCTGCAGAGAGCATGCTCAGAGCAGGCGCTCCCGAGCCCTGGTTAAGGTGCTGAGTGGACGCACCAGTGTCCATGACATCGACGGGAGCCAAGGCGCTCTCACCAGCACCCCCATCAATCTGGGGATTTGGTGTCGTACCACTTACGTCCAATGCCACCACTGGGGTGGCCAGGTGCGGGGCACTACGTCTGCAGGCTCCTGGGGGTCTGGAATGACTTGCAGACACAAAGCTTTATAAGAAGCTCCTGGTGACCATTGTGCCCCGATCACAGGGGCCTCACGCTGGCTCTGGACAAGGACCGCACACCTCCGACCCTCTGACTGCCCGATTCCATCTGGTGGGAGGGCAGGGGGCCTGGCACAGAGAGTCCCAGGCGGAGGGTGAGGACCCACAGGGACGACACTTCCATCACTGGCCGGCCACAGAGGGAGGGATGACAACGCCCAGGCCTCGGGGATGCTCTTCCTCACTGCACCTGAGCGGCCTAGGGCAGCAGCTCTCCCCAAAGCGGGGGGAGCTCCCACGCGCAGGACTCAGGAGCTGAGGGGCAGTTCCTGCTGTCGAGGAGAAGCGGTGGGTGCTGATCGTGCCTGCAGGCACCAGGGCACATGGGCCTTACGGATTCCACTAGCATCTGTGGCCACGGAGGGCCACCAGGGTGTGCCCTGCCCTAGGATTCGGCCGCAGCCCCGGGAATGGGAGAGACCCAGCGGGAGCCAGACCCGGGGTCCAGGCTGGCTCTGCATCATCCTGTGGGGGTCCTCGGCAGGGGCTGCGTGCTGTGGCCCTCGGGCTGTTTTTGTAAATAAAGTTTTATTGGAACCCAGCCACGTGTTTGTATCACCTGCGGCTGCTGCAGAGTTGGGAGGTGTCCACAGAGAGCGCAGGCCCCCCAAAGCCTGGGAGTATTTACTACCTGGAGCCTCACCACAAACGCTGCCAACCCCTGCCCTTGAGCACGCCCGCTGCCCTGCCCCCCCCAGCCTGAGTGTCCTTATCTTTGGAATGGACACGGCGTCCCCAGGCTCCGTAACTGCCATCAAAGGGTCAAACGTGGGGAAGGGCCCACATTAGGATAAATCTCTTCTCCCTTGATGGGGCAGGAAGGAACCTCCTCACAAGAGACTCATTATCACCCAAACTGTACACTTTTATTCAGAAAGAGCAGAAACCAGATTCAAGGTCAGCCAAGCCAGACTCACTGGCACAGGCAGCCCCATGGGTCGCCGACCTCACGGCGCGGGTGGCCCACGGCGGCCCTGACAGTCCTAACCACGACCCTGGGCCAGCCCTACCCCAGGTCAGCATGATCTTGGGCAGTGGCATAACCTCTCTGAGCCTCAGTTTCCCCTCTGAAATAGCAGGACACTGACACCCCTTCTGCCAAGGGCTGTGGGGGGCCTCTGGACAGAGCTGCTGGCACTGACGGGGGTGGGGTGGCCCCGCTGTGGGCTGTCCGGCCAGCTGAGGGGACCGCATGTGGAGGGACCGGGGCATATGTCCCAGGGCTCCCCACAGCTTCTGTCGGCTACACAGGGACAGCTACACCCGGAGTCAGCCCAGGAGGGACACTGGGATCGTCACTGGGCCTTGCAGCGCCTCCCTGCGGGGGTGGCGGGGGGACGGCAGCCCAGCTCTGTGCCTGGCAGCTCGGGGAAGAATGGTGTGGGGGTCTGCAGACCCCGGTTCTAGTCTGACTTGACCCGTGACTGGGAGCAAATTGCCGGGTGCTCCCTGGGCCTCGGTTCCTCCAAGTGCCCCGCGGGAAGGTCGGGCCAGCGCCGCTCCGAGCTCTGGGGTCTGGGAAGGTGCCGCCCTGCCCCACCCACTCACTTTGGGGTGGATCTTGATGGTGGCGATGTCCGACTTCTTGTCGATGTCCTTGATGGTGGCCTCGTGGCTGTCACCGTTCTGCAGCTGCACCTTGAGCTGTTGCCGGCCGGAGATGGTGTTGGTGCTGGACACCACGTGGGCGTTGGTGATGATCAAGCCGGCCTCCGACATGATGAAGCCTGAGCCGCTGGACAGGGGCACGTTGCGACCAAACAGAGGGTGTCTGCGGGGAGGCAGGCACAGGCGGGCCATCAGGGCAGGCGGGGGCCTGGATGGGGGGCCTGGATGGGGGACCTGGACGTGAGACATAGAGGGCCTGGACACGTGGGGCCTGGATGCGGGGGCCTGATGTGGGGGCCTGGACGTGAGACGTGGGGGGCCTGGACATGCAGGGCCTGGATGGGGGGCCTGGATGGGGGACCTGGACGTGAGATGGGTGGACCTGGACATGCGGGGTCTGGATGCGGGGGCCTGATGTGGGGACCTGGACGTGAGACGTGGGGGGCCTGGACATGTGGGGCCTGTACGTGGGGACCTGGGTGTGGGGGCCTGGACATGAGACGTGGGGGGCCTGGACATGTAGTGCCTGGATGTGAGGACCTGGTTGTGGGGGCCTGGATGTGAGACATGGGAGGCCTGGACATATGGGGCCTGGATGTGGGAAACTGGTCGTGGTGGCCTGGATGTGAGACGTGGGGGGCCTGGACATGCGGGGCCTAGACGTGGGGACCTGGTCGTGGGGGCCTGGGTGTGAGACATGGGGGGCCTGGACATGCGGGGCCTGGACGTGGGGACCTGGTCGTGGGGGCCTGATGTGGGGGCTGGATGCAGGGGGCCTAGACTCGTGGGGGGCCTGGACATGCGGGGCCTAGACGTGGGGACCTGGTCGTGGGGGCCTGGGTGTGAGACATGGGGGGCCTGGACATGCGGGGCCTGGACGTGGGGACCTGGTCGCGGGGGCCTGATGTGGGGGCTGGATGCAGGGGGCCTAGACTCTGGGGGGGCGCTGACATGCGGGGCCTGGACGTGGGGACCTGGTCACGGGGGCCTGGACGTGAGATGTGGGGGGCCTGGACATGCAGGGCCTGGACGTGAGGATCTGGTCGTGGGGGCCTGGACGTGAGACGTGGGGGGCCTGAACATGCGAGGCCTGGATGTGGGGACCTGGTCGTGGGGGCCTGGATGTGAGACGTGGGGGGCCTAGACATGCGGGGTCTGGACGCAGGGACCTGGTCATGGGGGCCTGGGTGTGAGACATGTGGGGCCTGGACGTGGGGACCTGGTCGCGGGGGCCTGGATGTGGGGGCCTGATGTGGGGGCTGCATGCAGGGGGCCTAGACTCGGGGGGAGCTGGACATGGGGGGCCTGGACGTGGGGACCTGGTCACAGGGGCCTGGACACAGGGCCTGAATGTGGGGCCGGCTGCAGCCATGCACCAGCTGGTGAGAAGCAGAGCCCAACGTGGGGTGAAAGATGATGGGTTTGGAATCCCTGGGCCCGGGGCCGACCCCAGCTCTGCTTCCTCCAGCTGTGGCCTTGGCCAGGTCACTGACGCCTGGGCCCATTTCACAGCCAGACAGAGGGGACAACCATCTGTGACTTGCAACTTTCTGGGAAGAGACGGGAGGCCCCTGTGCATCGGGCCTGTTGGGACCGGCAGGCGTTCACAGCCCTGACAACTCAGCACTGGAGCCAGACAGGCCGGGACTCCAATCTCAGGCCCGTGCCACTTATTATCTGCCTGGCCGTGGGCAGGCCTCAATCTCCCCAGCTAGGAAATGGGGTACGTACCCTGCTGAGTGTGATGCCTGGAGGCAGGAAGTCACTCAGCAAATAGGGCTGCTATTGGCACTAATGGGCACGTAGCCTCTGCTGGGGTTGTCCCATGGCAGGTCCCAGGGGGATAGCCTCCCGGGGGGGTGGCATATCTGCCTATGCATGGAGAGGGTAGCGCTGGGGGATGGTGTGCTCCCCCAGCTCGATGGTGGGCTCTGCTCCGTGAATTCTGCACCAGGCGCCGTCCTCCCAGAGACTCGGGGCAGGGGACACTGGACGGAGCCAGGCGGGGTGCGCACTCAGACACACACACGGCTTCTGCCTCCGTACATGGGGTCCAATGGTCGGAGATCAGAATTCACGGATGCGTGACAATGCCCAAGCCTCACCAGAGCCGAGAGGAACCCCGGCCCATGGCCAGGATGCCAGGGAGGAGGGAGTCCGGACGCAGCTCAGGACCCTCTCTGCCACCCCAGCGGGGCCCGGACGGAGCAGGTACTCAGTGTCTGAGGCCGCTTAGCAGCGGTGAGGGAGAAAGGGCACCCCAGGGGTCTGGGACCATGCAGGAGGGAAAGCACACGAGGGGCAACGTCTCAGGGACGTGAGGGAGTGCAGAAGGCTGCCTCGCAGGCAGGACCAGCGTCAGGGGCTCACGTCACCGAGCCCTCCAAGCCAGACACAAAGTGATTGAATGCCCACAATCACCCTACATGGTAGCAGGCCTCGAGTTTACAGGCACAGACGCTGTGGCCCAGGACACGAGGGACTCGTCTGGGTCAGGCAGCCTGGCCACTCGGCCCCGGGGGGACCCTAGCCTCTGTCCACTCTCATGGTCAGCTTCCACCGCCGCCCAGCTCTGAGTGTGGCCCGGGGCGGGGGCTGCACCTGACCGCCTCCTGCACCCACGGTAGGAGCTGGCTGCAGGAGGGGCCCAAGGCTGCCGGCAGCCTCCTCCCCCAGGTCAGGGGTTACAGCCGAGGCTCCCAGGCTCGATGAGCATCTCCTCTCTGTCTGGGATCTGGCCTGCTTGGTCTTGCCCACCCGCCCACCGGGACATGGGCCTCCAAGGCTGAAGTGGCAAAGGCAATGCCGCCTGCCCAGGCTGGGCTGCAGTCAGCAATTAGCTGCCTCGGAGGCTGGTGCCCGGAGCCTTCTAGAAAGACACTGGCCCCATCTGAGCCACTGGCAAGGCCAGGGATGTGCCACTTAGCATGTCCAGTTGTAAATTCCTCAATGACATGTCTCGGGGTCTGGAGCCCGCAGAAGGGCCAGGTAAGAGGTCAGCTCTGGGGCCTGAGAGACCTGGGGTCAAAGCCCAACTCGGCACTCGGTAGCTCTGTGGGCCTGGAGAAGGTCCCCTGCCTCACTCCACACCCAGGGAATGGGAACATCAAAGCCTAGCATCTGGGGTTCAGCCGTGTGTGAGAGCAGAAAGGGCCTCGGGGTGCAGAGTGACAGTCAGCACGGAGGGGTGGGCCCCCGGTCCTGACTCAGGGTGAGTTCTGCCTGTGCCCAGCTCCCTCCTCTAAGAGGTGGGCACTCACCAGGGCTATTGAGACACATGTTGGCAAAGTGGCCACCAGAGCTCGGAGCACACAGTTGGTCCAAGGGCATTGCTGTTCTGATGGGGGGCTTGTGCTATTGGTTGCTCACCCTGTGAAGCACCATCAGGGGTGAAGACAGTCCCTGCCCTCCAGAGATGTGGGGCAGTGACACCCCGTGACAAGGGCTCCCACTGGGCAAGAGCTGGGAGCCCCATTCTGGGGCTGGAGATCAAGCGTGAGTGATTCTGCCCACCCCCCAGGGACCCCCATGGGCCTCAGTGTCGGCATCACGGCACCGGCCTGCCTCCAAGCCCCCAGGGAAAGTGCCAGGCAGACGCACAAGGCCCCAGTGCCCTGGCCCGAGGCCTCAGGATGACTGTCCACTCCGGTGCACAGAGGCCTGGCTCCCTCTGTCCCCCATCAGCGTGGAGGGGTTTGGACCCTACGAGCCTCATCTGGGCGGTTTGGTGGCCCCCTCCACACACAGGGGCCAAGAGGTGAAGTCAGACAGAAGGAAGAAACACTTAACTTGAGACGACCTGCTGCCAATGTCTTCTTTTTGGGAAGTAGAGGTCTCTCTGGGAGGAGACCCCAGGATTCCACAGGCAATCAGCCTTCGGGGCAGCAGTGCTTCCCAGAACCAGCTCAGGCAGCCTCTGTGACACCAGGGCGCCTCCTGCCCTGGGACACACCCGCTTAGCAAACCTACAGCCCTGAGGGTGCAGGTGCATATCCCTTCCCCTCAGCGAGGACACCAGGGGCAGAGAGTGGGCGTCCCTCCCCAAGGGTACACGCAACGGAGGTGTCAGGGAGACCCACCTGACCCCACGTGCACCTGGCCTCACCTGCCCCTGGTGCTAGAATGGGGGGACGCCTGGGAAGGGCTCACGCACCTCAGGAAGAGCTCTATGTGGACCACGGCCGGCGCGATCTTCTCCACCACATCCGCGATGAAGTTGAACTTGTACCGCGGGCTGGTCAGCTGGTGGAGACCTGCACTGGCAGGAAGAACCAGGCGCATTAGTGAGGTGCCTGAACCCCCACCCAGGAGGAAGCTCCCCCAGCGACCCCAGCGGGCTCAGAGCCCCTCAGCAATGCCCCACACTCAGCAGCACAGTGACACCCAGACGTTTGGGAGGGGGCTTCTTTGCCCCAAGAATGGCTAATTCCTCACATTACCTCACTGGACGCCACCAAGCGTGCCAGGAGGCTCAGAGCAGTGAGGACGCTTGCCCTCGGCCGTGAGCAGTGACATGACATTGGAGCTAGATCTGGGCCAGCCCCCGGGGGCCCTAACCCTTTCTCTGATAGACAGCAGTGCCCCGGCTTGAGGCCACCGTCCCCTCCCCCGTGGCTCCGGCCTGTTGCTCCAGCCCTGGGGCCAGAGCAGTGATTGGGCAAGGGTCCAGCAGGGGCCCCTGACTCACCCTTCCAAGCTGCCCCGGTCTGGCCATGGTGTGACCCCCTCCTGGGCCCTGCAGGACTCCGATGTCTGAGTCGCCAGAGCCCCCTATCCAACTTGGCCATGCCCCAGTCCAACTTGCTGGGCAGTTCACGAACCCCCCTGGAACCTTTGCCGGCTCAGATTTCTGCTGTTGTCAGCAGCAGGGGCTGCCGCCTGCCAGGACCACAGGCCTGAGGGATGTGGGTGGCACGGGGCCCATACCCCTTTGGTCTCCCTTGCTTGGGCATGTGCCGAGGCCCCTCAGGTTCCCCCCGGAGACTGGCGCTACCTGGAACCCGCCGTCCCCGAATGAGCTTATGCCTGGAACTGGGCACATGCCAGGCTTGGCTGGGCACCCCACCTCCAGCTGTGTGGTTTAGGCAAATCACTTGCCTTCTCTGGGCCTTGACTCCTAGTCTGAAACTGAGACTGAAGATGACCCCTCCTGCCCTGTGTGAACTGGGTAGGAATGTGACTTGCAGGTGTGAAGCTCCCTGCCCAGGGGAGCCCACCATGCCCCCTGGCACCTGGGTCAGTGAGCAAACAGGGCTCAACCTGTGAAGGCTAGTTTTGCAGCTGAGGTTGTTCTGGGAGGTATGAGGATCTAGTGAGAATCTGGTTTTCTGTTTTGTCCAGAGGGACAGGAGGTGTCGTGGTGAGTGCGGCCACCCTGCGTGCCCCATAAACACCTGTGGGCACATGCAGGCCCCGCCCACATCCCGACTACTCTCCCCATGCCCAGGGGACAGCCAGGGTGGGGGTCACTGCCTCCCTCTCAAAGGTAGGGTGACCGTGGGGCTGAGTGATAAATCCTCCTGCCCAAAGATGCATATCGAGTTGGAGAAGGCACGTTCTGAGCTCAGGCTGGGGGCTCTCTTCCTTAGGGGCCCCTCGCCCATCCCAGTGGCTCCCTCGTGCCCTGTCCATTATGCCTGGACTGGGACTCCGGGTCCGGAGAGGGCTTGCCTCAGGCTCCAACGTCAGGGGTGGAGAGGAAGCCCCACCCACCAATTCTGTGATGTCTGCCTCTCAGCCAGGCAGCGGGCATGGGACACGGGGGCCCAGGCCATTGCGGTCAGCCTGAATCAAAGGCGGCCTGTCCGGGGGTTGCCGGAGCCCAGCTGGGAGACGTGGTCTGTAGCCGGCCACAGCTGAGGCCCCTCGCCCATCCAACTGCAGGCGGCCAGGGGCTACCTGCCTGGGAGCCCTCCCCCGGGTGGCAAAACCCTCGGAGGGGTGGGGTTTAGGGTTCAGAGCTCACAATAACAAGGGCCCCAGGGGCTGGTCCCACTCTGGTTCCACACATTTATTTCCACGCAGGATTGCGAATCGTCCCTGAAACTCTAGTTTCACTAGTCAGCTGTGGGGGCTAAGGCCAGCTCGGTCTCCCCCACCCTGAGGCCCCTGGGAACCCAAACCATGCTCTTGCCTCCAGGCAGAGGAAGGAAACCAGTCACAGAAACCGCTGTCCTGTCGGGTTCTGGTCTCTGACGGGACACTCCTCACCAGGTAATTCCCTGGTGGAATTACCAGGCCCTGGGACCTCATAGGACCTCCACCCCAGGCCCTTCTCCCTTCCACGGGTCGGGGCTTGGCAGGGTCTGCAGGTCTCCCTCGTGTGCTGGGTTCACCCCAGCCGAGGTGCGTGCCCGCCGTGCCGTGCTGGGGTGGGCAGTCCCCGAGGGCCACATCAGGTGTCACCCCCCCACCCCCGCTGTGAAACCTGTTGGGCCATTTACCCCAAGTCTCTGCTCCATCACCCACCGTTCTGTGCCTCACCTACACAGACCATTACCCACTGCTCCCTAGCAAGATGCTCCAGCTTGTCCTGGGCACAACTCAAATCCCACCTCCTCCAGGCAGGCCCCTGGCAGGCTTCTTCCAGCAGAATGAGTCTCTCCCTCCTGGGGGTTCCCAGAATAATGCCCCACCCCTGGCACTCCCTCTCACATGGGGCAAATTCAATCCACGCATGCTGAGTGTCTCTGGGTGCCCTCTGCGCCAAGTACAGGCGAGTGACCAGCCAGGCACAGCACAGGGTGGCAGGGGATGGGGCAGAGGGAAGCCCAGGGATGCCTCGATCCAGGTCCCAAGGACTTCAGAGCCTGAGCCCTCCCTGACCCAGGGCCTGGGGCACCCCCGTAGGGCTCCAGGGTCAGCCAGCTGGTGACCTGGGCCCTGCCAGGCCCTGTCCCTTTAAGCAGACCGACCGTGGTGGGTGGTGGGGAGGGGGTGGTGGGGCGGGGCAGGGCCAGCTTCCTGGTCCTCCTCCCCACACACAGATGAATCACCCCATGAATCAGTGGGAAGGGAGGACTCGGTTCCCACCGCTTCTTCCCACATGAAAACCTTGGGCTCCACGGCTGGAAAGCAGACTCTGTTTATTTGGGGTTTTGACAACCCCCACCCCTACCCCGTCCTCCAGCCAAAGTTCTGAAGTCAACAGTCAGTCCCGACCAGATTCAGCTGTTAGCATTTTGTTTTGTTTTGTTTTCAAAAATAAACTGTAATCCCCAGGACTTGGAAGTTCTAGTTGGGAGGAATTTGACACAGAGCAAAGCAATCAGGGCCAGGTGTCTTGCGGCGTCTCCGGGGAGGGGAAGGGGCACAACCAGGATGCGAGCGAGCGCCTGGGACCAGGGGCGGAGGGGAGAGGAGCTGGGCTGCCGGGCTCCGCCCCAACATTCTTGCGTGGCAGAGCTCAGGGACAGTGGCAAACCCTGAAAGAGGACTCACCATGTGCCAGCTCTGGATAGTCGTAATGCCATGAAACAGATGGGGAGACGAAGCCCGGAGTGGGAAACTGACTAGCTCAGACATCCCGCAGGGCCACCTCGTACTGCTGCTATGCAGGCTGGGGACCGCACAAGTCCATTATTAACAAAGATCACAGTGTGCCTGGCTTCCCTTGCATAGCCTGCCCATCTGTAGGCACTACCCCTCCGGCACATAATGGGCAGCCGGGACTGAGACCCAGTTCTGTTCCACTAACTCTGAGGTCATTGCCCTTAGTCTATCAGAAGAAGCCCTGACCTGTCACCCAGTGGTTAGCTATGAGCTGGGATGGAAGGGCCATCAGCAGATGACCACAAAGCCCCAGCTGGGCCCATCTGCCCATAAGGGCAGGCTGCACACAGGCTGCAGACTAGATGACACCTTATCAGTGCATTCAAGGACCTGGGTGTCCGGGTTCCATCTGCATCTGCAGGCTCGCCTACCGCTACTCTCCCCCTGTACCCCCAGCCCTGGTTCCCTCTGTCAGGAACTGCCCTTCTCTCACCCTTCAAGCAGGCTCAGTGACCACAACCACCCCTCTGGGTCCCACAGCCCCTCGTAACCCCTCCCAAGGTGTGTCCCCCGGACTGTTCTCATGGCCTGGGTGCCCCCAATCCACAGCACTGAGCAGGGCGCAGTGAGAGAATGAGTGAATGAGCAAGGGGGTGCACGAATGCTCGGTGGGGACGAATGCGCCATCTCAGGGGTCCCTCCACGGCCCCAGCCCCCACCCGCCGGCCCCACTCACCCACCAGGGGCAGGCTTTGAAGCCCCAGGAGCCGCCTCCCAGGTCTAATTAGATCCTAGAACGGTTCCCTGTGTTTTTCTTGCTCTTGAAAACTTGCCTGTCCCCAAGTGACTGCCTACCCCTGAGCCAGGAACAGGGGCTCCAGATCCCACTGTGGCTTCTAGGGGCACGGTGCTGCGGTCTGCGGCCCTCAGGCCCAGGCTCCTGTCCCTGGATGCAGGGCTCCCCCGCTGCATGGGTCCTGCCCAGCAGCCGCCATACGCTGGGCCCCGGACGTTTATGAGACCAGGGAACTCTCGAAGCCGTTCTGTGAGGCAGGCTCTTTGCTCATTTCCCAGGCCAGGAGAACCCCCCACCCAAGGCCCAGAGCCAGGTCCCTTGACGCTGACCCCAGGTACCTCCTCTGCTCCGGGCTGGTCCTCAGCCAGTGATGGGCTGTCCTGCCCAGGGGCACCCAGCTTGGCCAGTCTGCGGCTTGGGGTCAGTCTGACTCCTGCAATGTGCTAACCTCATTAGCTTGTCTGTCCTTTACCAAAAGGGTACCACAGGCCAGGCAGGACTCTGGGTCACCACGGAAGCCAAGGTGGGGTCAGCCCCAGGCCCTCCTCCGACAGGAAGCACTCTCTGGCCTGACTGGTCCAGCGGCTGACTCCTCTGGGCTCAGGCTCCCTGGCTGGGTCGTGCGCTGAACAAGGTCAGCAGAACTCCCTTCCACAAACACGGCCTTCCAGCATCTCCCTTCCTCCACTACCTCTCCTTCTGTCTCACAAATTCCATTTATGTCAGAAACACCCACTTGTCGGCACTGAGGTCTGTTCACACTAAAGTCTGTTAGCCTTGACGCTGTACAAAGCACTTTAAATTCCTCACCTCACTGATTATCCAGGGACCCAGCCAGAAAGGTCCCATTTCACAGATAAATCCGAGGTGCAGAGAGCTTAGGAGACTTGCAGGTGGGGTAGCTGGGACTCACCCCTGAGCAGCTGGACGTGGAGAACAGAACTGAGTCCCAGTTCTGGCTCTGCC